CTCTGGTGAAGCCTTTCGCCACCCCTGAGCCTCTGGCCTGTACCCCAGTTCTGTATGTACAAATAAATAAATCTTTAAAAAACAAACAAACAAACAAAAAAAACCTGTGGACTAGTTCTGAAGACTGTCAGTTGTACATTTTATCATATTCTCTATGGTATCACTAACAGAAACAAAACAAGAGGAACAGTTTTTGTATTTACCTATTTAACATCTGTTTGACCAGTTTATCCTTTGCCACAGAAAGTGAAAGAGCCAAAATATTACTCGATCTAGACATTTTTTCATTGTGTTTCATCCTAATAGTGATAAAGTAGACATGAGTGGTATAGGCATTTAAAAAAATTTTTGCCTGTTACTATTCATTCTTAATCTCCTCAGACTCTATTGCATTTACCTGATTTTTCAGCCCATTCCTTTTTCAAGTAAATTCTATGATTACATTTCTTTGGACCTGTTATTTTCTCTCTCACTCTTTTTTACGATTGTATTTATTTTTGCATAGATGAATTGGGTTGTAGGCCAGAGGTGCAGGGGGTGAGAGGATTCACCAGACAGAATGGGGACAGAGCAGGTAGATTTCTAAAGTACACGGCTAACGAGAGCAACAGGAGAGATAGGGGAGGTCTGCTGCTCCATAGGTGGATTAACTCCCTGGGTGGGGATCCAACTCAGGCCATGGTTGTGGGCCATCACAGTGCGAGCACTAAGGCTTAACCCCTGTGCTACCAGAGAGGCCCTGGATCTGTTATTTTATTGATACCCCTTCTTCCACATCTCACATCCATGGTTATATGCTTTCAATTTTTTTTATATGCTTTCAATTTTATAATGGAACTAATTAGGAAAATAGGCAAATGTACAGAATTTCATTCCATTGACAACTTTTTAATATTATAAAAATTTTCTGCATTGAAAGGAATTCCTGTAACTTGTAATTTTTACTCATGTATGTATTATGACATTATTTATTTTGATTACCAGTAATCAGAATTATTTAATTTAGGAAAATTTAATGAAAATTTAATGAAATTCCAGTAAAAATTGTGAAGACCCAGTTAATGATTGTAATTCTGCTGTAAGGATTTCTGTATTCATCCCAGATTTGTTTCTGAGTAAACAAAAAATGTTTGAAATACTCTGAAATGTTAAGCATGCTACCTTTGGGTAAAGTTTTGATTTAAAATGTTTTGTATAGATTTAGAAAATCTTTAAAAATGATAATTTTTAAAGTTTTTTTTTTTTCTAAATTTATGCATACAAGAACCAAGGGGTGAGAGGATTCACCAGAGACAGAGGGGGAAGCTGAGGATTCACCAGAGACAGAGTGGGGAGCAATGGGTGAGACAGGAAAGGTCTGCTGCACCATGTGGGTCAGTTCCCTGGCTGGGATTGAACTCAGACCACAGTGGCTGGCAATAGCTTAATAATGGTGAGATTTAACCCTTGTGCCACCAGAGAGGCCCACCGAAAGTAAGGACAATTTTGAATAAAAGTGTCAGGATTAGACAAAAATGATTATTTTTAAAAAATGATTGTGATATATTGAGAACACTGGACTTAAAATGTATTTAGCTATGACACTAGTAAGTAATTTAATAATATTGGACAGACCTGTTAAATTCTCTGAAATTCAGTTTCATTAGTTGAAAAATACTAAGTTGAACTATGAAGTATCTAAGTATCTCTTCTGTCTTTAAAATATGTTGATTTCTACTTAACCATTTGATGTAATTCTCTCTAGAGTTTTTGAAAAAGATGAAATTGTACTTATGTTGAATAAAACCCCTCAAGATAATCAAGCATTTCTTCCTTATGAGTCTCAAAAACTAATCACAACAATAAAGACATATTCTTCAGAACCAAGAGTTTTAGGTACAGTATCAAAAACAGCTTTGTTTCGAATACATAGATGATAAAGAATCAGTTTTAATTATCATTTGGTATAAGCAAAAACATGCTACTTGTAAATGTAAGACTCAGGAGGGTATTATTTTGATTCTTTGTGAGAGCAAACAAGATACATTTCTATAACTAATTTTTTTTCTCTTTGAGTTGTTAAAGTCTGGTTTGGTTACAGAGCTGTTGGAGGAGGATGAATAATTACATATTTTTCACTTGAAAAGTTTTACTTATTTGTATGTTGATTATGGTGGATATCAGATTTGTGTTAATGATATTTGTGACTTAATCACTGAGATATTTTGCTTGAATTAAATCTGCAGATTAGATTAATAATGACACTGTGTTAGATTAACTGTGTTGTCTATTCTCACCCCCGTGCCTTCTTTACCACCACAGTCACTCATTCATATCACCACTCTGTCTTCTTTAGTTCTTCATAATAAAGTTGCAGCTGGTTGTCATTTTACATTCATGGTTGCTGTAATAACTATTATATAGTGAAAGAATTATAAGTTTTTAATAACCTCATTCTATATTCTAATTGAAATATTCACATAAACTTGATTTTTTAAATTACAAGGCTTGGTTAAATCTTGGGCATGGTATCTTATTCTATCTTCAGTATTGATTTTGAACTTTTATTATTGAATAACCTAGATAAAAAAGAAGAACATTTTGTGAAGCAGTTAAAGCTTGCCAATATTGAGTTTGGACAAACAGAAAATGATATACAGGTTTGTATTTTTTTTAAATAGTACAAATTAAATTGCTTTTAATGAGATAATGATTATACTACATTTGGATATATTTGTGTGTATGTTAGAAATATTTTAAATCAGCCATCAGTACAATCTCAGTGTCCAAAGTTCCTACAGTTTGAGTATGGGAGCTTGAGTATATACTGTAGCCTCACTGCTAAAAATATTTGCAAATGTATTTAAAAATACCAGGCCCTATACCTGGTGGAACCAAAGCTGTGAGACATTTCTGAAAAAGGAAAAGAAGATTGGATTTGAAGAGGGAAATTATAGCCTAGTTCTTAAAAGAGAATACTTTTGCAGAAGGTGTGTGTCTGGGGACAATAAGTTAGGTAACTGGTTTCCTTCAGTGTTGAGTTAGTTTAATGAACCTTTGCTTTTGGCCAGTCATCAGCAACGAATGAAAATTATTTCAGGGGGAAGCATAAGCATGGGAGAGATAAATGGTACCCTGGATAGTTTTTTTTTTTTAAAGATTTATTTATTCATACATATAGAGCTAGGGTACAGGCCAGAGATGCGGAGGGTGAGAGGATTCACCAAAGACAGAGGGGAGCAGAACAGGCAGATCTACGAAGCACACTGCTGAGGGGAGCAGCGGGCGGATCAGAGAGGTCTGCCTTACCATGTGGATCTCCTCAGGGGCAGGGGGGTATCATACTCATCTGAAGTGGCTTAAGCTTCTTAGTGCTGTGCTTTAACCCACTGCACCACCAGGCACCTGGATAAAGAGCAAGGATCATATCACCTAGAAAAAAAGTTTTTGATGTGGGATGTCAGTCTTATACCGTTCTTCCTGAAAAATATGGATGTTTTAATTAATTCATAATTAATTATGAAGTCTTAACTATGTTATAAAAAATTTAAAACCTGGGGCCTCCCTGGTGGCACAGAGGGTTAAAGCACAGTACTAAGACGCTAAAGCCATTTCAGCATGAGTTTGATCCCCCACCCTGGAGGTGATCCATATGGCGTGCAGACCTCTCCTGACCCGCCCGCTGCTCCCCTCAGCAGTGTACTTAGTGATCTGCCTGTTCTGCTCCCCTCTCTGTCTCTGGTGAATCCTTTCACCACTCTTGCACCTCTGGCCTGTCCCCCAGTCCTGTACATCTTTAAAAAAAATTTAAAACCCAGTACTAAAATTTCAGACTAAAATCCCATTCCATCATTGGATGAAGGTGGGAATATAAATGAAGGAGACATAAGTTTGTTTAAGGTCTTTTTTTGTGTGGGACTAGAGTTAGGGATAAAAACCGTAATGAATTACTGCTTAATAAACATTTAATGTAATCACTAGAAGATAAATAGAATATATAAGTTTTAAAATAATAGAAGAAAAAAAGATTAAAGAAAACTTTATTTGTTTAACAAAAGGCAAGAATGAAAATACAAAGTAATTAGACAGCATTGTAAATGGAAAACAAGATGCCAGAAATAGATCTTGCCAATTCAGTAATCATAAAAATGTTACTGATTTAAATGCCTATTAAAAACAGAGGTTTTTGTATGGGGTATAAAACAAAACATAGTTATATACTATTAAAACAGAACAGCTGAAACAACTTGACAAATGACTAAAAAGAAAATGGAAAAGATGTATATAGGTAAATGCAAATTAAAGCAAAAAATATAGCAATACTATATAAAACTGAGTTCAAATAAAAAGGTTAATAGGGATAAATATTGCATATTTTAAAAATAATTTACAAAGAAAACATAAGAACCACGATGTACCTAATTAATAGAGTTACAAAATATATAAAACAAAAATCAGTAGAATTCCAAAGAGGTAATTGAATCCACACTTAAAAACAGGGTAGTGCTCAGAGAAAGTATTGACCCTGAGTTTAGGGATTGAGTTTGATTACATCTAAAATAATACAATACCAAACCAAAGAAATAATATCATCTTAAGGTAAACATTTATTTTTCCCTTACCTGCCATGAAATTCTGAAATACATGATTCAAATTTACTTATTGGGGCTGATAGCACTATTCTACAAAGTCATTATTTTTCAGACTTCATCTATGCTTTATTCTCCTGCTGTCCTTGATGCTATGGTTACCTCATGCTAAGGTTATCAAGGTTACCTCATGATCAGAAACTGACCATTGCAATTTCGTCATCAAATCTGCCTCCTAGGCAGGAAAGAAGAATGGGGTTGGTGAGTGAGCTAGCTGTATCAGCCCCATTTTTAGTGATACTTCCTGGAAACCCCTTAAGCAATTTGTGATAATGTTTCATTGGCCAGAATGTAGTCACATGTACACCTCTATTTATGGGAGAGGTTGGGATATGTTACTTTGTTTTTAAAAATTAGAACACAGGGTGAATGCACATATTTGATAAATATCAAATGATAACTGTTTCTGCCAACAGGAATAAATCAAGTAAGTGGAAAAACAAGTAAGGATGTAGACAGTCTAACACAACTAACATACTATGTACCCAACATACACAGAATTCAGTTAAATTTTTGCTTGTAATATTCACCAAATTGATCACTTACTATAACAAAAAGGGATAATCAGTTTTTTTTCTAAAGATTGATTTATTTATGCTTATAGAATTGGGGTACTGGTCAGAGGTGTGGTGAGTGAAAGGATTCACCAGAGACAGGGTAGGGAGCAGAACAGGCAGACTGACAAAACACACTGTTGAGGTTAGCAGCGGGCAGGTCAGAAGAGGTCTGCCATGCCATGTGGATCAGCAACCTGGCAAGGGATCAAACTCATGCTGCAGTGGCTTTGAATAGCTTCATAATGTTGTTCTTTAACCCATTGTGCCACCAAGAGAGCCCAGGATAATCAGTTTTTTAAAGGTTCTGTCTTACCTCAATATAAAAAACCCCAGAAGCTAAACAAAAAGATAACCCTTGCTTCCAAAATTATTTTGCTGAAGAAAAAAATTACGTACTTTCCAATTACTCTAGGTTATAAAAAAAGCCAAAGCAGGCTACTAACACTTTTAAAAATATTATAAAACAAATCTATGGAATGTAGCCAAATTGTCTTGACAGATTTATATTAGAAAACAAATATATTTGTAAAAAAGAAAGATTAAAATTAACTGGACTTTAAGTATGGAAAGTTGAACTCATAGAGTTCAAAGTATGAAAAGTACAGAGTAATAAGAAGAAAAGCAGAAATTAATGGAATAAAAAAGTTGAGTTGGTCAATATAGCCAAAAGCAGTAATTTTTAAATATCAGTAAATTTCAGCAAGTATAAAGAAAAAAAACCCCCCCTTTCCAAAGGAAAAAATAAAAAGGGAAAAAATGCATCAGTACACTATGGAAGAAATCTTTTCAGATTCCCAAGAGAATGCAATGTAACACTTTATGCCAATGCATTTGAAAATTTAGGTAAGATGGAGAATTTACAAGGACAACATAAATTGTTAAATAAACGAAAAAGAAGTACATGAATAAATCAGTAACTTAGAAAGTGAAATATAAACAAAATTTAACCATTCCCAAACCCCCGTCACCTGCACCACCACACATACACCCTTGAAAAGACACCAACTAAGTTTTTCAGGTGAATTCTACAAAACCTTTAAGAATTAGATCAGTTTCTCAATTGTGGCACAGTAGATATTTGGATAATACTTTTTGTTGTGGAGTTGTCTTGTGACCCAATAGAAACTAGCACACCTTACTCCCAAATTCTGACAATCAAAAATGTCTTCAGACATTTTCATATTCCTCTTGGAGAAAAAAAAATGGCTGTCAGTCAGTAATCACTGGAATACATGTCTTCACACAGAACTATAGCAGCATATTGAAAGAGTTGGGAATGACTCCCCCCAAAAATATGATCCATTAGATTGCAAGGATAGGGATTGTGAAAGAAATGAAAAATTATGTCAGTCTCAAGAATAAGCATAGTTGTAAAATTAAGTCAGTCATTAGAAAACCAATAAATATTATGAGGAACTTTGATTGTCCCAAGAAATGTAATTATGGCTTAATATTAGAAAAATCTTATGTTTTGCTACACTGATTAATACTTGATTTTAAGTAAAGATTTTGAAAAGAATGTTAGAGACATACTACCAGCTTTGAAAATGTTTATTTTTTCCTTTTTCTGCTGAGATATAATTCACATGTTGTAAACCCCACCATTTCACAGTGTGTAATTCAGTGGCTTTTAGTTTATTCATCTGGAGTATAACCATTACCATTATCTAATGCAAGAACGCGAAAATGCAGCAGTTTTAACATTGGCGTAAGAAGAGACAAATTGATCAATGGACAACATCAAATTTAAAAGCTTTCTGTATGACAAAACACAAAGTTAAAAGACAATGAAAGAATAGGAAAAGATATATCCAGGATATATAATAATGTATGAAGAAATACATAATTCTTACAAATTAATTTTAAAAATAGGCAAATGATAAGACAGTTTATAGAAAAGGAAAGAAGAGTTTACAGAAGTTTATAGAAGAGTTGCTAAACATAACAAGATGCCTGATCTCAGGGTTACAAAGAAATGTAAGTGAATGTAATACCTGGTTTCACCTATTCCAAATCTAGACTTTTGGGGCCTCCCTGATGGCACAAAGGGTTAAGTCACAGCACTGTCTGCAGCCATTTCAGCACAAATTCCATCTCGAGGAAGGTAACTGACCCACATAGCACAGCCTAGGCTCCCCTCTCCTGCCTCACTCACTGTTCCCCTTAGCAGGGTTTTTCAGTAGATCTGCCTTTTCTGTTTCCTACTCTGTTTCTGGTGAATCCTCTCACCCCCTAGCACCTTTGGCCTGCATCCCAGTTCTCCTATGCATAAATAAATCAATCCTTTAAAAAAAAAGAATCCAGGCATTAAAATGCTCAATAACATTTATATGGCTATGAAAGTTCTTACTATCTAAAAGATGACAGAATTAAGACCAATGACTTTAAAAAAAAAAAAAGATTTACTTATGCATTTAAGAGTTGGGGTGCAATCCTAAGGTGCTGGGGAATGAGAGGATTCACCAGAGACAGAGTAGGGAACAGAACAGGTGGATCTACCGAAATACCCTGCTGAGGGAAGCAGTGGGTAAGGCAAAAGAGGTCTGCTGTGCCGTGTGGGTCAATCACCTCCTTGGCTGGGGATAGCTTCATAGTACGGCGACTTAACCCCTTGCACCACGAGGAGGCCTGAAGGTCAATGACTATTATAATAAAAATAAGATAAATTTTTCTATTAAGATTTAAATTCTGGATCAAATAAGAAAAATCAAGACTCTTCAAAGTGTATGACTCAAGAAGAATGAAAGACTTAAAACAGTTAATACAAACATTAACATAGGGCTCCCTGTTGGCCTAGGGGTTAAATCTCAATACTAGTACAGCAAAGACCCACTGATAATGGTTCGAGTTAAATCTCCAGGGGAGAATTAACCACACGGCACAGCAGACCTCTCCTGTTTCAACCACTACTTCCCTTAGCAGTGTATTTCAGTGGATCTACTTGTTCTGCTTCCCACTGTCTGGTGAATCCTCTCACCTTCCCTCCTCCATCCTACAGTCCAGTTCTATTATGAAAAATAATGATCTTACAATAAAGAATAATTCTTTAAAAAGCAAACATTAATAGAGCAGTACTTTAGTTACTAATATTTACAGCTCAAAATGAAATATTAATTATTTTATACACATATTTAAAGGTTCCAGGCTTAAATTTTTTTTTTTT